ACTCGGCTAATGAGGCGCACCCAAACTAGCGGTACCCTCAAATCGAAAGGTAAGTACTTTACCTGGTCGAATCCATTTATGATTCCGTATTGTAAGACAGCAAATCTTATTAAAGTATCGTGTGTTCGATAATCTCCCCACCGTTCATCATCATCTGATACACCTGTTTCGGTATCCTACGGCAACAATAAATAAAAATGCCACCAGAAACTGGATTTATCCATGGAGAATTTCATTATTCCGGCAAAGGTATTTAGCGCGTTCCACTTTCCCTGTACCTACAATTCTGAGACCATCTCACTACGTTTATCTCGTTGATCTTCCGACGTGCAAATTGGATTATGTTCGCTAAGTGAAATTTTTTCGTTGTTTCTACACACATTCATTTCTCACTCCAGATGACAAGTGTTTTCCCATGTCAAATGATAACTAATATCTTCTTATCATCATTACATCTCTTTCGTGTATGAAAGCAATGTGCGGTAAACAATTTTAGAGATGTTCGTTGTGAGATGCACAAAAACGGCCCAAAGTTAGAGCCTTGGGGAACGTCTGATTTCGACGAAACGCGAAGGGACATTGCACAATTTTATGGAGATTTGTAAATTCACATTCTCTAAATGCTTTCAATGAAGGATGTCGACCGTAGATCATTTTAATCATTGACAAGGTTATTTCCCTAAGTAACTCCTTTGTATGTTGCATTTATACAATCTAATTTAGTTTCGAGCATACTATTAACCTATTGCGATACGTTACTTAGTACCAGTTTTATAATAAATAACGTGCTTAATTGTTTTTTTTCCGAATTTTATTGAGTGTGTAATGCATAATATTTTGAAGACACGTTATGTAAATTTTACGAGTAAAGTAAGGAATGTAACAGTTATCCAACCTAGTTTCTTCATGCAAATTTTTTTCGGATAGAACAGTACAGAAGATATTGGCTCGTATGAACACAAAGACATTTTATTAGCGATTAAGTTACAGCCATAAAGTAGCATTGCAAATTAATTAGAAAAAATCTGATCACGTTTCTAGAAATCTGACTGAATGAATATGCTATTTCGGCGAGAAGTTGCGGATGTCTTTATATGACGAGCCCGATGTCTAGCCTAATTGTATTTACATCGCCTAGTGGTCAAGAAGATACATGCATACCTATTCCATAAACCATAACGTAACTTAGTCATCGTGTTGCAGGGGACCTTAAGTTAATGCCTGTGGGACAACATTACATATTCCGAAAATGGTAATTGTACTTGTAAAATTTTACTATACCCCTCCCCCCTCGTCTTTCGAATTTAAACCGATAAGAGATAAGTGTTTTAAAGGTATGTACAAATTGTAAATGTTTCAAGACAAATTCCTACTTTAATACTTCATGTTAAAAATTTTATTTTAAGGAGGGGTAATTTTTGAGGAATCAATTTTTAAATGAATAGGCAAACTTTATGAATTTATTAATTTTTTTTCAATTTTGTATATGGGCGAGTGTTCCTGAAATACGGTTCTGAATTTTCAAATACGTGTGAAAACTTGACGCGCCGAGAAGTCGTGGGAGATTAGAATTAGCTAGAATTACGGGAAGGGTCCGTCGTTATCCAACTTGCTAAGTAGCATGTGAATTTTTGATTCAGCGGGATCTCAGTTCACGTATTGTTGAGCTGTCAAGGGTTTTGTGTCTGAATCAGAGTAAACGGCGGCTCCAGAAATTGGACGAGTTCAACAAAATGGCGGCGGTCACGTCAGAAGAACTAAAACAAAATACGGCGCACGACCCATAATGGCAATTTCCATAGCGGAAACGGAAGTAATAAAACACAAATCATTAAATACAATATCCCCCCCCCCCCCATAATTAATTGAACAGAAAATAGCAAACGCTTACCCTCCAAATTAAATAGCACGGGATACGGAGACCAAATACTACACGGTTCAAAAAAATTTGAAATTAAAGCGAGAATAAATTTACGGAAAAAGAATTACAGTAATTAATACTTAAATGTCACTTGCGAAAGTGCTAAAGGCAAAAGATGCTCTCTAAATAAATTTCCCAAAATACGGAGAGGGAACGTAGGAAAATTAAACGGCCAGCGTACCAAAAACGAAATCGTTCAAAATTAAAACTTCTTTAATTAATTTCTCGGCTTCTGGTCATCATAAAAATCGAGGACATCTTACAAACATCTGGAAAAATTAGCGCGCGTCCAGGACACCTCTCACGACTGGTTCTGATAACGTTTACTGCAATACATTTAAACAGCTATGGCTAATTATACTTACTTAAGTAATTAACACCTATTCTCTCTTGAAATTTCTCAAATCAGGCCAACCGGTCCCTTATCTAAACCTGCCTGGCCTAGCAGTTTTAATGTTCGTTTTAAATTAAGATAGGGGACCAAAACCTACTAATAATGACTTAACGGAGCTGAAATTCTAAAATATCAATTTGCCATCAAGAGCTTTGGGACGCGACAAGGATAATTGAAATATCTTGACGGGATCGGTTGCAAACGGCGAATTAATTACAGCTTTTGTGACTGAAACACAACGTTAGAAACTAAATCTTTAGCTTCTATCTTCACCTCGAGCTTCAACTAACTCCTAGAACCAACACAAATAACTTCGGCACGACAATTTTCCCAACCAAGCGCCTCTAGTAGACCGGATGTTGGGTGCTTTGTTACATCTGATTGCCTAGAAAATAGTATATTGTTTACCAAGGGGTATAAAAAAAATGAGTTTTTTCTCATTTTCAAATGTGACATTTCGCTGATTATATTCAAACAGCGAAGTATCGTTTCGTTGCTAGGGGCAGAGAAGCGGAAAATAGGCAGAGAAATTTTACTTCTCTGTCCCTTTCCACTTCTCTGCCTCTTTTGATTTCTATGGCTATGTTGATTAGCCGTTTATATACACAAATTTCCAGC